GAGGATCTTCCCAACGATTGTCTCGCCCTTATTATCTCTTTAACCAATCCACTCGATGCCTGTAGATCGTCGCTAGTTTCCAAATCTTTCAACTCTGCCGCCGGTTCCGACGCCCTTTGGGTTAAGTTCCTACCGACCGACTACCAGAATTTGGTTCCTGCATCGCATACCATTTCTTCCTTGAAGTTCCTTTATCTAAGCCTCTGCGATTATTCTGTCCTCATTGAAGACGGTAAAAAGGAATAGAAACATCCCAAGTCCCAACCTGCTCTCTAATTATTTAGTTATTTGTTCCTCAAATGATTTTTTTTTTTTTCTGATTTAGTTTGTTAAAATTCTAAGTTATCAACGTTGTGTTTGAATATGGCCCCTAAAAAAATTCTGGTTCTGGCTCTTTCTTTCTTTGCCCCCATTTTTTTTGGCCAACTTCCTTTTCATTGCTGTGTATTTAGATTAAAGTAAAATTAATGTATTTGGACAATGATATAGTTACAATGACGAGATTGTAAGCTTACTGACAGCTTAATGTGTCATTACTTGAGTGGATGTAGATGCACACTATATCCTGAATCAAAATAGTTACTCATATAATAACGCACTGTAATTGTACTAGCGATAGTTGGTGTTTTTTGTTGGTATTCCGAAGGTTAGCTCGCAGGCCTTACAGCATTACCCCAAATCAAGATGATCGATAATATTGACTATGTTTACAGAACTTCATGGTTGTTGCCTATGTTTCTTAATTCTTATGGACTATGCTTTGAAAGACGATTATGTTCTTATTGTTAATATAATGATTAACGATTTTTACGTCCTTTTAATGGGGAGTTTATGTGATCCTTGTGTTCATTGTTTACCAATACATCTTGAATTGAATTGAAGCTGATCAGAGTAGTCTTTTCCATACTATTATTTTGCAATACTAGCGTTGGGTCTTTAAGCATATCACATACATTGCACAGAGCTTTTCACTGGACAAAAGGAGTGGGAAAAAATGTTACATGCTAGCTCCCAGGAACCTCGCAATTGCATTGGGTGATACTCCTTATTATTGGAGGTGGATCTCCATACCCAATTCCAGGTATCTCTCTCAACCACACAGGAAACACAAACAAAAGCATGCATTACACAAAACGCATACATACATTTAGTCATTTGGAGCCAAAATTATTCAAGCAAGCCAACACGTGATTGCTTTATAAAGTCTCCTTCCCCAACCTAGAACAAATAGATATGTGATAATATTATTTATCATTCATGCTTACAAATTTCAAACAGATTTCCTGAGGTTGCGAAGCTTCTTGTTGTCTTTTGGTTCGAAATCACTGGGAGGATTGACAGTTGCAATCTTTCCCTGATGACATGTTATAATGCTCTCCTAGTGTTCAAACTGGTAGCCAATGCTGAAGGATTTGAGAATAAACCCATAGAAGCTACTCCTCGACTTGGTGGAACTCAAGTTTCAAAGCGAATTGTATATGTTATGGATAGTGGAGATGTAGTACAAAATGGTGATCAGTACCCAAAAGTGAGGGGAGATGGTTGGTTGGAGGTAGAGTTGGGTGAATTCTTCAATGGAGGAGGACTTGAAGAATTGGAAATACATATTTTCTCGCATGATGGTTACTCTGTGGGCGGTCTCTATGTTCAAGGCATCGATATCAGGCCATGTTAGTAGGACATAACAAAGTTTTATTGTTTTTTCTTCTATGTATTTTATTTTATGTAAGAGAAAATTAGCGATTGCAATACACTGGTTTTATAAAGATGTCAGTTCTATTAGTGAAGTTACTAACTGTGATGCGATTTAGTCATCAGTATAAATGAATTTCATTTTAGTTTTAATTATATTGAAAAAGAATGCATTTAAATTTTATTTATTTTTAATTTTGAGAATTGTATTTGGGAAAAAATTATTTTATTAAATCAAATGTTATGAAACTTTTTAGAAGTTCATGAATAGAATTTTTTACTTAGAAGATTTTCTTTCAATTGACAATTTTAATTTCATGTGACTAAGTTGCGACAAAAGTTGATAGAAACAAAAAATAGATTCAACAAAATTAAGAAAATGAATTAAATTACTAAAATGTCCATTAAGTTCAAACTTACTGTTCCATGCAAGTGGTAGGAGTATTTATGAAAAATCGAGTAGTCTGTCTAATAAAAAACTTAATTTTTTTATTTAAAATTTGTCAGAAATTAAATGTCCATTTAGTTTGCAAAAAATAATTTCTAAAAAATATGTTCTCATTTTTTAGTGTCTAACACACAAAATCAGTCAGCGGAAAATCTTTAAAGTCAACGGATAATCTGCTTCGTTAAATCAGGAACTTATTTTCTCCAAAAACATAGAAATGTAATTGATAAGTACATCTAATATCTTAACACTAGTCAAAGTTGGAGTCCTGTCTATCAAGCTAAAATTTCCTATTTCCTATTTCCTAATCCAATTTGTAGGTGTTTCACAAAAAAAAAAAAAAAACAGGCTGACCTTTTAGGTCCGACCCATCTCTCTCTGTACCATTATTAAAGCAATAAAGAATAAACCATCCCGAATTTTGCCAAAATTAGCAACTGGACAGCACATGAACACATGAATTTTCCTTTACTATTGGGCTTCAATCTTTGAGGCCTTTAGACATGAAAAAGACAACCTTCGTTTTTTTTCAAAATATTTGAGTAAAACTTGAATCCCACGCTTTTAAATTTGTATAAGAAATCCTTAATTAGGGTGGCCACTAAATGTTATCAAAAAAGACAACTTTTATTTCCTAAAAACCGGAGACAACTTTATACTATATAAATTTTTGGCATCTTACAATTGATTTATTTTATTTGTTTATTTTTTTTATACATAGAGATAAAAAATTAAATTTTTAGAAATTAAATTTTAAATTTATAATTAAGAATATACATAATTTTACCACTAAATTACATAACTAATTATATTTTATTCATTTAATTACTAAGACGTCTCTTAATTAATTTGCATATACTCTAAAACTAGCATATTTTATTTTGATTAAAGGCCAATTATTTATATAAAGACAAAAGAATTTATGATCTTTTTACTGGTATCCCTATAGGATTAAGTCTTGGTCAACAAATTGAAAATCCAGCTAAAAGTACACACTAAAATATTTTCATTTCCATTACTAACCAAAAATTGAAAAATATTTTTCATAAAAAAATTTCCAAAGTCTTTCAAACACTGAAAAATAATTTCTAGAAAAGAAAATATTTTCTATGAATAATATTTTCCAAGAGGAAGTTAGAAGTTATATTCTACAAAACTAAACGAACTTTAAAAGTCATTTTCTAATTTTAAAAATGAAAAATAATTTTTTTTTCTACTTTAAGCCATTGTTACTAATTGCAAATTGAAGCCAAATTTTAGCGTCTTTATGATCCTACTTCGCCTAACGACTTTCATCTATTAAAACATATCCAAGCTACCAACATATTTACAAAAGTTCATCTGATAACAGGATCTTAGTCTCTTGTGATTAATGGAGAGCTCTCCTGTCCTTGGCAAATTGAGCCGTGGTTCACTCCATCTCGATGCTTTCTGCCAATTTTCCTTGATGTTTTGTACGTACTTCTAGACAGGCAAATCAGCTTGCAGATAGGGTGGCTAAATGTGCTCTTACCAACTAATGCAAAATAACAGCAAGGCTTATCACTATGTATTCTATCTGCCAGTTCAATTTATAACCAGGATGCCATAGACAATGAAAGAGCAGTAAATAAGTTTTTACACTCACAAATATTGTACCAAAACCTAAATGACAAACTAACAGCTTTCATGGCAAACAATGCCCAAACCAAAACTACATATTTTCCAACAAACTGATGTGAAAACCATGTATTACAATCATGTGTTCCGAAAATGCCAATGGGTGCATAAGTTAAACATTACATACCCTTAAGTATATCAAAAGTACCAATGCCAAGCACCTGTGGCATCGGCACCTCACCTCTCCTTAAGACATCAATATATTGTTAACGCAGCAACTTCATTTAAGATGATTCTGTGTTGCAACTTTAACACCCGTTCATAAGGAGAGTCCGGTGGACATACCTGTCAGAGTGAATTAGCCATTCATTAAACATCCCATTAGAGATTGTATTTTTCAAAATGAACTATAAATTTAGTTTCTCACCTCTAACAACAAAACTTTTTTATACACCGGCACTTGAAGGAATGTCCACGACTTTGCCCACTGCAACTGTTTTTCCTGTAGACACAGCCAAAGTAATCCAAATTACACTTGGCATGCCGAGAGTAATTCATGAATAATGAAAATGCAGTCACATACCTTCAGTTCAAAGAGTAAACCTTTCAAGTTGTGCAAAATCTGAGAATCTCTCAACACAAATCAAGTTGTTCACCAGAGAGGCAGAGACAATAGTGCCAAGAAGATATAATTCATAGAGCAAATTTCAAACACAGAGAAATGTTTCAAATATAATTGGGCTAGTCTCTACTTCAAAGCAAAACTTCTTTCTCTGTTAAAAATAAACCGCCAGTGAAAAGCATTTGACAAAATGTAATATTGGTTGGAGATTCCAACCACTTAAGACCTTTGAAAGCTTGGAAGGTGCATAAATAACAAAGCAATGCTACACCTTTTATATACAAAGAAATTATAGCAGTCCCACAATTATCAAGCAGGAGGATGATAGCATGTTGAATGGAAAACATTCATAATTCTAGATAATTCCAAGTGTCAGAAAATAGACACTTAGGAATTTCCAAAAGAGTGAAAAGGCAAGAAGTAAACCTGAATGTGGCAAACAACAACAGCACCATTCTTAACAAATAGAACTTTCTTTTTCTTGGGTTTCTTTGTCTTGGGATCAATTTGTTGTAGCAACTCAACAATCTCGCATTCCTCAACAACAGAATGAATATGCAAGACAGCTTTATACCCAGCCGTGAATGTTGCCTAATAGCAGAGACAGTCCAAAACCATTAGATGCAAAGTTAATCATATGAACTAAGAGATTACACATGAGAGGACTTCATAAAGTGGATTCATTCATACATTGTCAAGCAACTCAAGGATCTGCAGCTGCTGTCAAAAACTACAAGAAAAGGGACATATTTCTGCAAACAAATTTGCAAATTATCCTACTATTTACTTTTTAACTCCACTTTCTATAATCTAATTTCCTATTTAGGGGGATCAAACATGAGAGCCTTCAGTTTTTACAATCTTTAAGAGCACTTACCAACACTACATAAGACAAAACCAACTAATATGTCCTCTTCTTCAATTCCAGATGACATAACCTGCAGATTTTCACCAGGTCCAGCACATGTAGCCTTATCTCCATCACAGTAAATGGCAAGAACTTTCACTTGAGCCTGACATCCATGCATCTTGGACTTCAGAATCGAGGTTTAACAATAAATAAACAAATAAAGAGATTGAGGGAAAGACTAAGCACCTTGTTTGGCATGACAATTAAGGAATCACCCTCACACACAGTACCAGATTCAACCTATCCCATCACGACAGTTCCCATGTCTTTAAATTTGTCAATTATAGGCATCCTGCATATTTAGAAAACATATAGTTAATAGATGTGAAAGGAAAGATTGATACAGCCTTGATAACTCAGAATCTATGTTGTGTAACTTTAATTTTAGCAAATTAGGGTTCTATTTTATCATACTTAAGTTTTTCTATGATCAGGGGCAGACTTAATATAATATCAGTTCCATGATTTTGGTTTTCATTTTAAAATATAATTTGGGTACATTTTGGTCATTCTAGGATCTTTAGGAGTTAGATTTTTTAGGTTGCATTTTCTAAGAATCCTAGCCAGTTATTTACCTATCTTATGTTCCGAATCAAAGTCATAGGAACTCAAGAAATAGTCAGAGTCCTTAGAAGTAACTATGTAGCCTTTTCTATAACAAAGGGAGAAAGGGTATAGGTATAAAATTATACTTTCTTCCTGGATTTGTATGAATTCCTACAGTAATAAATCATACCTAAAAGGACCTTTTGGATCTCTAGGAGGAATTTCAACTGCATCAAGAACTATAAAGAGGCAGGGGTCATTCCACCAGGGGCATATGCTCTTGTCCAGTCTCGTTTTCATGTTGGAACAAAGAAAACAAGATATTGGTAGGAATTTGACATCTACAGGTTCAGAATAAGATGAAAAACACAATCAATATACAGAATTAATTGCTTTGCTTTTGTTGAAAAAATACAAATAACTCACAATTTTAATTCAATCAATCACCATTTTCCTATAAAAAAAAAAAAGAAAAAGAAAAAAAAATTTGACAAGCAATATATCAATTACCTTTTTTCACATTGTAGCCTGAAGACCTCAGAAATGGTATCATCTTAGATTCAATTTCATCATATCTGAGGGAGAATGCCATGAAGAATGAACCATCAGAACAAGAACACAGAAATAAAACAGCATATATAATCATAAACTTAACTAAATTCAGGAACAGCACCTTTCTTTTGACCAGTTAACAGTGGGATCGTCCACTTTGTTACAGCTTAGATACCGCAAAGTTTTTGCAACCTGAACATGTTCACCGGTTTGCACACCCTCTCATATCCAGTTTCGAATTTCCCTTTACGGGCAGAAATAACCTAATTATGACAGTCGAATGGAGAACAAGACAGAGAAGGAGAAAGAATTAAAAATTCAAAAAATGGGACTTATGCAAAACAAATGCAGTGAAGTGGCGCCTAACTCACCAGAACACCAATATCTGCTTGAGCTGCTCCACTGATCATATTTGGGACATAACTTTGTGACACTGAACAACCCAACACTCAAAGTTTAATCATATACTGAAGCAAAATTGATGGGAAATATACGTGCAAAACACAACAAATTATGGCCAAAGAATACAAGAGCTGACAATCTTATTCTGTAAACAAATTCACAACTTCCCTACATCAGTACTGTACATAACTCCACCATATAAATTACAAACTTGTTCGCACACACAAACTTGATAAGTATTTAGAATCATAAGTAGCTAAGCTGTCACATCTCAAAAATTCTAATCAAATGTAGTGACTGACGATGGCTTGCAGGAAGTGTTGCAAAAGTAGGGATTAGTTGATCAGGAGGCACTGGTCAACGCATCACCTTACCCCTTGGACTGCCCAGACGAACAGTGGTCTGCAACAAAATTGTGCCATAATACAAGACACAACATTGGAAACTTTCTCAGAGGGCCCTGCTGAGCTACTCTGCCGGAGTTATAGTCCGAAAGGTGGCAGAACGCACCCTCACGCGCTGCTGGCCTGAATCTGACCTGCAAACCAGATACGACCCAGTTCCCAAAGGTTGAAGAAGGCTGTGCCAAGTTAAATGATTAGTTGCGTTTTGATGTTATTTTTGGCAGTTTAGTCCTTTAAGTTTCGTAAACATGCTGTGTGTGTGTAGCCTTAAATTTTCAACGTTTCCAATTTCTGATTTTCTCACATTTTTTAATGACTTTTTTGACATTTTTTTGAAAAAGAATAATTAAAAGGCAAAACATCCAGACGCATTAGTTGCACCTGGGTGCTAGTCTGCCCACTGTGTTTTGCAATATTGCTTGCATGAAGAAGAAGGAGAGTTTCATTTGACAGAACTAAAAACCATCACATAATTCACTTTTATCTTGGTAAAAAATTGTACATTTTATTAAAGCATTAATTAATCCCTCTCATTTATCCCTCATCTTTTTCAACCTCATAGAATCATATCATAATTCACAAAAAACAGATGTACAAAAGCAATAAACTAACTAAAACTTATAACTTTATCCAACAAAAATTAAATAATGGAGACAGGAAATCATATAAAAAATACAAAAATCATGGTGTTTTAGCTTCAAAATAATTGCTTACCGGTGCATCCAAAATGGTAAACCTAGTATTTTCAGTCTCAAAGCGTGCTCTTCCCACTTCCACAGAATACCCTACAATCAATTTGTGTGAGATTGTGCAAATAACAAATAGCAATGGCATGTATCAGGAAAAAAAAATTGCAACCATGGTTATTATTATTTTTTTAAAATAGCAACAATATGGAATTGAGAAATGTAAACATGGTTACCACATCTTAGAGTACCTTAATTCTCTCCTCTTCGTTAGTGTCCATAATATATGCCCTACACCTAACACAGAAGATAATTATGGTCAAACAATGCAAGAGCTGAGACTCTTATTGTCTAGCACATTAAACATTTAACAATCTCAAGAATGCTTGATGTGATGCTGAATCGAACAAACTTTAACAAGAAACAGAACCAAAAACTTTGAGAGCAACTTATATTGGCATTTGATAGGATAAAGAGAATATATTCAGAATTTTTTCAACACCTTGAAATCCATTAGTCATTCAAAACTTGTGATAAATTCAAAAATGACTTTTAAACTTGAAAGCAATTCCTCTAAACAGTAGTTCTAATCCGAATATCCTCAAATTAAATAATTTGAATCAAAAGAATCTCAATTTCAAGTTTTCAACCAATGAAACTTAAAACATACTTTTAATCTCATCCACAACCTTTGTCTAACCATCCAAAGCAAACTGCAACTAAAAATTTTAAAAGAAAAGAAAAAACCATCCACTTTCCTCAACAAGTTGTAAAAGAAATGCTACAGTTTAAGGCTGGCAATAGAACCCTTTTTATAGCTTCTTAACTCTTAGCAACAGCCAACAGTCTGATCCTTACCATATCAAAAATGTCTTAAGATTTGATCAATGGTCTGGTCCAGTCCTAGCTGATTCAATATCACACTAAATTATTCTTTACAAAAGATTTTACCCAAAATTGTTCTATATTGGCAATTATTTTCAACATAGATAGCATCAGGGATCAAATTTATACTTTCAAGTTCACATAAAAAAACATATATTAGCAATACCAGAATAAACCAGCATAATCCTAGCCTAACTTCTAAAATCAAGTTCCTCATTGGATGATTCTCTTGGCTTGCAAAAACAAGCACATCAAAACAATCAACCTTTTAATAGTGGGAAACAGAATAAAAACAATATGTTGCCTTGAATGGTTACATGGTATATAAAGAACGGGAATTTAAAGTAACATAGGACAAGAAACCATTTTTCAAATTGATTTGTGTCGCATTATCATTCTCTTAGGCAAATAGTTTATAAGTAATGTAGGAAAAGCATCTGTTTTCCATGTAAAGAATGAAGAATGAATGTAAAATCTCACCAGCTTTCTCTACTTTTGTCTTTTGCTTCTTTCTCATATTTTTTTATTGTACTGTCATCAACCTGATTACTAAGGAAGAGTATCTGTCCTCCACTTGTTGACTTCCCAGCATCTAAAAACGAATTACAAAACAAAGCCAAAACAAAATCATTTGGATGAAAAGTCGAGGGAGATAGGACCATCGACATTTGTGATTAAAAAGAGCGAGCATTCCTCACTTTGACCAACAATTGTACTTATAATGCCAAATTGAAAAAGTTGAAACTTTAAACAAAGTAAAAACACATTTCCATAAAAATAACATATAATATCCAAAAAAAAAAGTTTAAAACTTTTCAAAAATACGTAGACATTAAATAGAAACGGAAAATCATAAATTTTTTTTTTCATTATAAGATTTTGATTTAAGATTTTGAAAGTTTTTAATTATTTAAGCGTAGATACAATATGTTTTAAGAAACAATTACAAAAGAAACCTTTTAATCCTTTACTTAAAAATATTTTTTTTAATTCCTTTTCTAAAAAAAGCACTTTTTTATTTTTTTATTTT